GGTCTGGTAAATACAGCAAGGACTACATTTCTGTTAATGTGATTGATATTGAATTGACTTCCTGAGGAGCCACTTTAAACCATTGACTTATATTGAATTTAAAGTCAATTGAAACTCCCAGATCTTTTGATGTCAGTAACTGCCTCAATCTCATGTATCTGAAATTGACTTCTTCTGCCATCAAGAAAAATTCTGTACTTCCTTCTTCGTGATCTAGCAGGACTCTGCATTGAGCAAATAAATTACATATTTATATTTCCTAATTTTTGTAGAAACATTTAAGGGATATATTTTAATTGATGTGATTTAAATTTTATATTAAGAATTGGCAAACTCCTTTAGTGTATGTTGAACTGCAAGAGTATCTTGGTGAGTGGCTTTTTTTACCTCTTCAGAATCTGAGGCAGGACAGAGGTAAAGACAATATAATTGTTACAAGGTGATTTGGGATATAACTCTGTAATTATATTCTTAAGAGAGTGTATGAATTACCTTTTGCTTAAGCCAAAACTTAATAGCTTAAACAAATATTTTATTTAGCCATGATTCTCTGAGTTGGCTGGGAAGTCCTTTCAGTCTGAACCAGCTCTGCTCATCTCTACTGGCTTCATCATGCTGATATGTGGTGAGCTATGAGTCTGCTGGCAGTGGTTGGCAAGCTGTTGACCTGGATGCCTCCACATGGGTTCTCATCCTCCAGCAGGCTGGCTTGAGCTCATTCATATGGTGATCTCAGAGTTCCAAGTTGCAACAAGAGAGCAAGCTTCAATAAGTAAGACTTTTGCAAGCCTCAGCTTGTATCCCACTTGTTAATGCCCTACTGTTGGTCAAAATACATCAAATAGCCAACCCAGATTCAAGGTCTTGGAGAAATAAATTTTGACTTTAGTGGGAGGACCTACAGCATCAGATTTCAAGGGTGTGAATGCACAAAAGGGAATAATTTGGTCATTTTGGGAGTCTACCGAAGGGAGGTTGTAGAATCTGTTTCAATGGAAATTTTAGCAGAAAAATTATTTTTCTGAATATTTTCCATGTCAACTTGTTTAAAGGTAAAACAAATGAGAGGTTGTTTCCAGCAGTAGCCAGTATGAAGATTAATACTTTTAAGTTCTCTGCTTGACTTTTAAGAAAAAGATTTACACCAAATATATAGAATTAATATAGCCTATGAATCCATGTAAAGGGTGGATTATGGATAGACATTTTCATACAAGTTTTATTTCCCTCCACCCAGTACCAAAGCTGGAACAAGTTTCCTTCTCATCTTCTTCTCCAGAGCCAGTTTATTTCTCATTCATTATACACTGAGAGTAAGATTTTTGCAGGGAAATCTCAGCTTTATGTAGAGGTCTACTATTAGATTCCCACTTTAGCCAGGCTCTGAGCTTTAATTCCTATTCTCCATGATCCATTTAGACATCATGGTAAAAGCTCAATGTCTCCCTGCAAGATTTAGCATAAACTATCAGGATGAATACCACTGGTAGTCACACCAGGATTTCTGCTTCTATTTTTATCTATGACCTCCACAGATTCCTTCCTTTCATGTCAGCGTAGTATTATATGTTAAAACAGTCATAAAAGAAATTCATAGACATTTTATATTTTTTTAAATGAGGCTATCTAGGGTAACTGATCTCCATCCTGGCAAGTGACAGAAGTAAATGATGATCCTCTTTGAAAGAACTCAACTTTACTCAGCCATCGAAGAATTACCACAAGGCTGGCTGGTTAGCTCAGTTGGTTAGAGCACAGCCTTGTACACCAAGGTCAAGGATTCGGATCCCCATACTGGCCAGCTGCCAAAAAAAGAAAAGAAAAATGACAAAAAAA